AGGGGCAATGGGTTAAAACTTAAACAGGGGAAGTTTAGATTGGATATAAGGAAGAAATTCTTTACTGTAAGGGTTCTGAGACACTTGAATGGGTTGCCCAGGGACGTTGTGAATGCTCCATCCCTGGTGATGTTCAAGGACAGGCTGGACAGAGGCTTGGGTGACATGGTTTAGTGTGAGGTATCCCTGCGACCGACGGGGGTTGGGACTAGAGGATCTTCAGGTCTTTTCCAACCCTAACTATTCTATGATTCTATAAGCTGGACACACTGAAGCAATCTGTACTTTATTAAAAAAAAAACCAACAAACAGCTCCAGACACTCCCTACCTTTTCTGTATGAATTTATGCCTGAATACAGTATTTATTCACAAACTCCTTTGCAAGAAAAGCTACATAGCTTAATTAAAGTAAGAAACCCCACAGATTTTCATATTTACTCTTGCCTGTTTTTTTTTTCCACACACCCCACAATAAATACCTATGCAAGGAAACTGGTGAATGCTTTGGGGAGATGACAGGTCTAAAGAGGCAGGTAACTGAAACAGATCAAAAGCAAGTATCCTGTAACAGCCATTGGTTCTTTTTAATATTCTAACATTTAGTATCACTAGCTTATCTCTTACAACAAGGTGCCCCTGATAGGATCAGAAAACGAGGAACAAAGTCTGATAATTTACACAAGGTACTAGGAACAGAAATCCTAAAACGGAAAGCTATACAAATACTTGTAAAATAGTACTTAGGCTCCTGTGTAAGGTCTAGGTTAATAATGGATCCAAGAGCGGATAATTTATCACCACTGATTTAAAGCACATTCATTACATTAAACTACCTTAACAGTCTTCTAAGGACAGCAGGAAAGAGAGTACCAAGTTGGGCAAAATTAAGTACAACACACTAGAGGGAAAAAAAAAAACCCAACACTTTCTGTAGGGTCATTGAAAAGCATCTGACATGACAGTGGACTTTTTGGTTCTTTGGTTTTGTTTGTTTGCTTTGAAACAAACCAGAAATAGAAGGAAAACAACTACTTAATTTGATTTAGATGCATAAAGAAAATTTATCTTATTTATCACCACCAGTAAAAATCAGAGGGAACAAACAGAATAAAGTTCAGTCTAGCAAGGGTTATTTCCTGATCTCAGCTATCACAAAGCATGAATTTAACTGAATTTTCCTGATGTGGGCTAGCAACTCAGAGAAATGCATTATATTTCCAGTCCTGCAGGCTACTATCTGCTGCCACTACTACAAACCATCCCCAAAGTAAAGGTATCAAAACTACACTGATCATCTACCCACTTTCACAACCCCAAGAAACACACAGCAAGTCTTTGAGAGCCACAAGTCACATATCTTAAGAACCCAAAGAAGTTCCAGGAATCTTTCATAGGCAGGAAGTATCAGTGGTTCCCAAGGGGTCTACTACTGTGGTCTGATGTGACCATCCTTCGACATGCAGCTGGTTCCAGGAGCAATACAATGATGTCTTTAGTAGAGCTCCTTACAGTTCACCAGCAAAAAAAAAAATTAAATGCAATTTAATTAAAAAACACAAAAATGCACAACCAAAAAAAATCCACTAATATAAACAAATACAAAACCAAACAAAAGACAATCGAACAGAAAAAAAAAAACCACCACCAAAAAAAAACTAGCCTACAAACCACCTCCCCCTTAAGAAAACAACCAACCTAAAAAACAACAAACACTACTCCTGGAGGGCCGACATCTGGATAGGTGCACTGCCTGTATCACAAAGACAGGACTTTGTCTTGAGGAATGTGAATTTTGAAACTCCCAGAACGGTGGAACTGAATCTAAACATACATACAAAAGGTATCTATCAGCCAGTTCAGATAGAGAAGGAACAAGACCTGGATAAAATCAGCAGCAGTCCCAAAGCCAAAACAGAGACCATATGTACAAGAAAAGCTGTATCGTGAATTTATAATTCCTTCTTTTAGCTGGCAAGGTTTCTAGACAAAAAAACACTTTGGTTTTGATACACATTCTATCTGAACTCTTCCAAAAGAAGTGAAAAGATGCTTTTAACTTGTATTAGGAGAACTTTTCATGCTTAACTGCAATAATCCTGATAAAGTAGCAACTTACTAACCAAAAATACTACTTCTAACAGAAGTGAAGAGCTTGCTTTATCCACTAGCCATTCACAGCAAGCTCTACGCACAGTTTCCTTTACCATTTACTTCTGTTGATCTCAAGAACTCCTGTGTACTAAGTATGTATCTACGTATGTATAGTTTTATGTATATGCTCTCTCCTGCTACATACACACATTTTTATTAATATTATCTATTAAATTTATTCAAAAAGGAAGCCACCACATAGAGGTAATTATGCAAACATGCTTGGAGAATTTCCGTTTTAACTCCTGCTTCTATTTCTTGAAAGCAATAAACTTAATTCATGCCTTTCGATTCATCTTTTTTACCTTCAATGGAAAGTATGGATTTGTATAGTAAATTGAAGCCTGCTGACAAAATCTTTAGTCTCAACTGCCTTCTTTGGTCCATAGTCTACTCAATCCACAAAGTGAATTAATTAAAGCCACTGAAATTAGTATCTTCTATTAAAATCAGCTTTCAAGTGTGCAAAGACTGGGCAAAGTCCTTAGTGTGAAGCAGCTGCTTTCTGCTTAGTGCACAAATAGAAGTACAGTTCATTTCAGCCAACCACTTTGCAGTTAAGCTGCACTAAGCACATCCCTTTAAACCTCCAGAGAAGGAAGGTTTGCTTAAGTCCTCTATACCTTGTTCTGCAGGAAACGTAGGAAGAGCAAAGAGATGGGAAATCAGATTGTTATTCAATTAGTACCACTCACTTCTGCAGTCCCTGTTCTACCTGGAGCTTGTCTTGCACTTCAGGTATAACTGCCCTTCCTTGCTGATTAAGGTTTCTTATTACTACCTAACTAGAATGTATTTACTCGTATTTAAGTTTGCAACAGAATGCTTTCAAGATCACTACACGAGGATGCTTTGCTGAAGAGTCAGCTTCTCAAGTATCAATATCAATTTTTTGTGTCTATGCTTACTTGCTATCCAGATGAACAATATCTGTGATACTTTACCTTAAGCTATTTAAAAATATGCCAGAATAGTGATTTCAAGTAAACAAGAAGCTGGAAAGTAGATTCCACTGTAATTATTGCACAGAAATCAGCACATCAAGCAAGAATAGTGTTTACGATAGTCTGCAACGTCCATCATGCTTGGTTCTAGTATTGATTTTTATAGGTTCAGGGGTTGCTGAAATAGGCAAGGAAAATTCAAACAGCATGGTCAGTTATGAAAATATATGAAAATACAAAAGATGCACTTTTTCACCTGTAACAAAACAGAATTTCAGGCTCAACTAGCAGCAAAGTTGTCTGCTCATTTACCAGTCAGATGAATAGATGCAATGCTGTGAAGTAATGTAGAAGTGTGGCAAACCGTCCATTCCTTTCACACACCTCAGAAATAATTCACCTTCAAAGCTAGTCACAGGGAACAAAGGATAGTTACGATTCTATGCTACAATGCTGACCAGTGCATAAAATTGAAAGTTTATGAACAGTTCCTTCTCCAGCCCTCCTCCTAATGAAACTACAGGCTTTCCACTACTTCTGCAAGTCATGGTGTTTCCCTAAAATAATAAAATGCAGTATCCATTCAGCCCTAATCCACTGCTTCTTGTAACTTTCTAAAGTAATGACAATGGCTCCCCTACATCAGGCTGTATTTAATTGTTATCAAGACTGACTCCAGAATGACACCTATGGACATTTACAGCACACATCAAAGGGAAGTGGATAGTTTTACTGTACTTGTAAAGTGTCAAACTTGCAAAGTGACATAAACTTCTTATAGTTATCACCAATACCGCTATTTAGATTATCACTGTTTTCACCTTCATCTCTTCTTTTCTACCAATTCTTGGAAGTTTCATCATCTTTGGAGTTTATTCCCAACAGCAATTCTCAATTACTTTCTTCACTTGTTCCACTTCCCTCCCTAGCATCCTGTATGAAATAGGACAACTAGAAGCCTAGGAAATGTAATTTCTTACCAATCTCTACTTCCACTCTGCAGAATTCACATTTCCACATTTGAAACCTAAATACAGCAATGCTTCCCAAGTTATAGTTAGCTATCTGTCTGCAGCTTGCTAAGGCAACTCTCCTCCCAGTACAAACTACCTAAACTTCTGGAAACTCAAAGAAAAGGAAAGGAAAAAAAAAAAAAGAAAAAAAGAAGGCTAAACAGGGAGAAGTCATATAAAGATATTCCATACACATCATACTCCTTTGGCCTTTGGCAGTAATTATTTTAGTAATGGAAGTAGGCTAGACAAAACCAGCTCTATCATTGAAAATGGAAATCGTTGAGCTTCCATTTATAAAAACAGTTTCCTGATACTACATGGCAAACATGAAAATAAGCTTTCCAGGACTTGCCTGTGTACTAAGCTATGGGGTTAATGACTGATATAAGCCTAGGAAAAATGTTTTTAGCTTTTAAAAACCTGATAAAACTTTAAGATGTGCTCAGCAAGACATTTAAAATGAATAACAGTCTTACTTCCCAGGCAAGTGTCAAGTTTGAGTACTATGCATCCTCCCCATAGTTAGTTCTAATGATGTTGCTGTGAACTGCAATGTTTAGTTGGCTTAGTCTTAAGGATTACTATAGCTTTTAAATAACTTTGATATACTAATGTTTATGGGTAGTCACAATTACAGAGTGGTTTTCCAACCTATCTTTAGCAAGGTAGCTTGTTTCAAGTAGTAAGAAAATTTACACACATAATCATCAGACTTGTCCCTGGTAAATCTGCATTTGTTGAACATCTAAGAGTTCAGAAGAATAGCCTTGCTCACACTATTTGTTCATGTTTCTCTTCTCACCTGATAAGGCTTTACCCAGTTCCCCTGAGCCACCCCTCTTTCTGATCTCCAGTGAGAGACTCAAAGACAGATGGGTGGATTAACAGCATGTTCACAAACACTTCTTGGGAGTCTAAAACCACTTTGCAAATTTACTTCAACTTAAACCTTCAGCATTTACCGTATTTCCAATTTTAGAAATCTAAACTGTAGCAGAGGAGTGATGTGAATTTTTGAACCCTAATTCAACCCCTCTAAATTGGCTGTCATCCCTGGATGCAGGAAAGTTCTAACCAGGCTCTTTAAAATGTGAACACTGCACATGCTACAAAACTAGCGTTCAGCATCACAGGACTGATTTTTATATTTAGTAAATCAAACAAACAAATAAAAACCCCAACCCAAACAAACCCTAAACACAACCTCCCCCCCCCCCCCCCCAGTGACAAAAACCCCCAGCTGGGAAACTGGACTTTCACTTCAGAAAATAAATAAATGTCAACACTTATATTGCTCTGACAGCTCTAAAGAAGGAAAGGCCATGCAGGCTGAGAGTTGTGGTTGTTCAGCCTGGAGAAGAGAAGGCTCAGGGGAGGCCTCAGAGCAGCTTCCTGTGCCTACAGCAGCCAACAAGAAAGATGGAGAGGGATTTTTGACAAGGGCATGTAGTGACAGGACAAGGGGGTATGACTTTAACTGACAGTGAGAAGATTTAGATATTAGGAAGAAATTCTTCACTATGAAAGTGGTGTGACACTGAAACAGGTTGCACAGGGAAGCTGTTGCTGCCCCATCCCTGGCAGTGCCCAGTGCCAGGTTGGACTGGGCTTTGAGCAACCCTGTCTAGTGGAAGGTGTCCCTGCCCATGCAGGAGGTTTGGAACTAGATGGTCTTGAGTGTACCTTCCAACCCAAACCATTCTATGATATAAGAATCATAAAACACTCTGTATCAAGAACAGATGTATTTATAAACAAGTCACTACTTCACCTTTAGAGATAGCATATGTAGGGTTTTATACAACACATATTATGCATATGTGCCTTGCACTTCATAGACAGTAGCTTTATTTTACCATTCAAATAGAATGGTAAAGACACCTCAGACATTCTTTTTTCCCCCCAAAAGAGCAATACTACTCTGTTGGATGCCGACACAATTTTAATACTATATAAACTTTACTACATAAGGTGCATACAAGCTCATTACAGTCCATCACTGAAGCGATGTGAATGTAACAAGCAGAAATGTAAACTGCAAGAAAGCATGTGCAGTCCTCCTAACTAGGTCTGCTTGCGAACCAGGAAGCTTTGGCACCAAGTTCAAATATAAACCAGTTTATAATAATATAGGAGAATACATAGTCAATTATAACTGAAACGAGTAAGTGCTTACCTTGACTCTCCACTACTGTTTCTTATGCTTTCTTCATCGCTGTGCAAATTCATTGTAAATATTAGTAAGTTCAAAAGATAAATAAAAGACCACTCTGGTTACAATGTGGATATCTTCTTGGTACTCTGCTTGTTTGCCAAGTCAGGTGTTTGCTCTAGTGTTCTTTGTGTGTATTCAAGATTTCTCCTCAAATACCTAAAACAGTAAAGAAAAACACTGACACAATTTGAAAGCACGTCTGCATCTAAAAAGAAACGAAAAATAACATGGCAATATAGATGGCAATGTGCGCAGAATAGGAAATGGTATGGAAATTACATTCTCTTTAGCACTGCAGGGTAAGAACAGTTTACTACATGTCTGCACTATATCGTGTGGTTTAACTTTTGCCATACGACTGACTTCAGGACAAAGGGGATACAAATTTTAACAAAAAACTGCTCACCTGAACACAGACGTAAAACGACATATATATTCTTCAGCTAAGATCTGCTTAGTAAAATGTATTCAACAGACAAAACACAGTGGAAGCATTTCCAGATACATAATGCTTACAGCCGCTTGTGGGCAAAGGCAGGAAGAAAAAGACTGTCCTGTTTAAAACAACTGTCTCCACTAAATCAGACCAGCAAAATCCCACAGATGGAATGATCATTATTTCACATACAAGCGCATCTTAAACCAGATCACTGCAGTATCCCATACAGCTAGATATGTTTAGGTTCACGGTAAATGGACTGCAAGCATAAACTCACTGATAATCAGATAAAAAGCACCGCCTCTCACAGATTTAGTGATGTGAAAGCGGTTAGAGTGTGTCCTGCTAGCTGCCTGCCCCGAGGCGCTCTCCTCTAATATGTAACAGCCCAGCCGCAGCTCACCGGGTCGTGGCAGTGGGGAATGCGTCGCTCCGCGGTGGGAAATACTCCGTGCTCAGGCATCCAAGCAACTCCGGCCACCAGACAAAGGCGACCAGGGAGGGGAAAGTAACAGAAGGCAGCCCGGCAACTCCGCAGGGCCCGCGAAGCGACATCGGGGACCTCGCGGCGGAGGAGGCGAGCCAGGCGGCTCCCCGCGGTCCGCCCGCAAGGCCGCGCTCTGCTTAGTCGCCTGGCCGCACGCTGCCCGTCCTCCCGCGCAAACACCCCCCTCGCTTTCGGGCCCGGCACCCGGTGAGCCCCGGGAAGCACCCTGAGCAGCGACCATAACTTTCCCCCTTCCGCGCTTTTCCCGTTCCGCGGTGATCCTTCCTGCAGGGCTGGAGAGCCCAGGCCGCCAGACCGTGCTCCCGCAGCCTCCCTCTGCAGCTCTCGCTCTGCCCGCCCCCAGGGCGCTCGTCTCCCGTCCCCAAAGCTAGCTCTCCGCTGGCAGCGCGGCCCTGCACAGGCGTCGCTCCCAGCCAAGGCTCCCTGGCAGCGTCTCCAAGGCCGCCGCTGTCCTCCATTCTCGCTTTTCCCGGCGCCCCGCCTGGCCAGAGGAGAGCCAAGGCCGCTCTCCTGCCTCCAAGGCGGCTCTGCGCTGGCTCCGCCAGCAGAACCAAGCGAGAGAGACTCGACACCGGCTGTCCGCTGCGGCCCTCGCAGCTCCCACTCTCCGCTAAGTGGGCCCAAGAACCCACCCCGCGCCGGGCAGCCCTTCCCCCCGGACCCCGCCCGGCAGCGAGATCCATCTCTCAGCACCGCCCGCCCCCCCTTCCATCTTCGGAAGCTGTAAAACTCCCGGCCGGCGAAAGGGAAAGAAGCCATGGCGGCCTCTGCCTACCTTCGTGCGCCCAGCCTGGCGAAGCCTTCCCAGAGACTCCCCTGCCCGTGACTGCGCTACGCCCCGCGGGGATGCTCGTACCCCAGCCTAGGGTCGGGGGCTGCTGCCGCGGCGGGCCCTGGGCCGCCGCTCGTCCCTCTGGCCGCCGGCTCCTCGTAGCTTTGACGCGGTAGACTCGCTCGCCCGCCCGCTCGAACAATGGGGCCCCGAACTGGGCAGGGAGGGGCGCAGAGAGTACCCGAGTGAGTGTTGCGCCGCTCTGCTCCGCCACCGCTCCTCAAGTCCTCTCGACCGCCGCCATCATGCCGCTTCTCCACTCTGCCTCCCCCTCCCGCGGTCGGATGGAAACCCCGGGCGTGATGTCAGCCGTGCGCCCTGGGACCGACCGGCAGCAGGAGGAGGAGGAGCCACGGCCGGGGGCGACAGGCAGCGCCGCTGGGCCTCTGGAGTGGTTGGTGAAAGCAGGGTGGGCCTCTCGTTGTGCCGGGGGTTGGTGGCAGTGCCCGCCCTCTGTCCCTCCTTCCGTCCCTGCCTGCCGCACGGAAGGAATGTTGAGGCCGGGACGGGCCCAGCTCCCAGCCGTCTGTGAAGGCGCAGGGCGCGGCCCGACCCAAAGGGACTCCATGACCTGAGCGGCCCGGCCGCCCGTTACTATTCTGCGGAGCGTGGGTTGTTGGTTTTAGTTTTTTTTTATTATTTGGTGGGGGTTCTCGGTGTAAAATCGCAGCCCGGCGACAAACACGACCACGTTTCTTAGTCTAGCTACACAGTTGCAAGCAGTACGGGAAGGAAGGCTCCGCGCTCTGCTGCTGGGAGGACGTTGTCACCGTGAGGACTACCCCTGGGGGGTAGCTGGTCTTCCTCTTTCCATTACAGAACGTAACGGTCGCTCTTTTCAAAGCTATTGATGTTAGCCTTTTATTTAACATGCATCACGTTCGTTAACAAAAAAAAAAAAACAAACCCTCAAAACAGCACCCCCCCCAAAAAAAAACCACAACTAAATCCAAACCACCACGAACCCTCCAAATCTGAAATACAACACACAAGGAAAAAGGTTACATAAGTTGTGTGTCTGAATTTTCCCAGAATGGCAAAGAAAGTGGCAGCTGAGTGAAAGAGTGTGCTGTAAACTCAATGCCGCAGCCAACCTGTCTTCTCTTCTTTGGAGGCACACATATGCAATTACACTCTTGTCACCTAAGAGGATTGTGGGGTCACTGCTGACATCTGGCACCAGACCTTTGGACATTTATGTAGCACCCTGCAAGAATGAAAGAGGTCAAGGTCAGCATGAAAACACAGCTTGGCCATCAATGAAGGGAAGGTTGAAGGAAGCAAGTTGCTGTGCAGGTATACTAGAGGAAGGTATTTACAATAGCTGTCAAATCAGTTCCAAGTTTGAAGAGTTGTGTTGGCTAGGAGCCCACATCTGAGCCACAGTCAGTCAGCTGGAGACCTCTGGGGCTTACAGCTTACCTCATGGTTGCTCTTCCAGGATAAGCAAAGCTGGTTGCTTCAGCACTCAGTGGAGGGTGGTCAGCCAGTGTACCTGCCACTCTTCATCTGAGTTGCTGCGGTTTCCTAGATCTGCACCTTCAGCCCACCAAGAGGATTGTGGGATTGGTTGCCATGCACAGTGACTCGCTGCCTGAGAAGCAGCAGGGGCTAGACAAAGATTATATACCAGTCCAGCTCTCAAGCACCATGTAGGAGTGTACCCCAAAATCCCAATGGTGTTTTTTCCCTCCAGAGTTAAAAAAAGCACCAGGAATTGCTTAGACAAAAATAGCTTCAAAGTTTACAAGAAGGTTATGTTACATTATTGTCCTTATCGAAGCACTAAAATTTGACTAAGTCAGCTTAAGAGAGAATATTTTTTATGACAGACAATAAAATAAATTAGATAGACAAGAGTGCTGCAAGATCAATGTTCTGAAGTTTAAATCAAGACAGAATGAAAGTAACTTTTAAGTTAACAAACTACTCTGATAAATAATAGGATAATTAAGGATAGAGCAGATTCTAATGAAAGGATTTTTATTACTATTAGGAGTTTCTACATTTTAAGGAAAGAAAGAGTAGAAAGCCACTGCCTTGTTCAACCAGAACAGATAGGTCTTATTCAGAAATTGTGGACTTAAGCAATTACCTTCAGCAAGCAAGTGATAAGACCAAGCTGATAATTTCTAATACATGATAGGTGTTAGGTGTACAAATTATATGAATTAATGTGTGACTAATTTGAGTTACATAGCTAAATAACAGAAGTTTTCATTGCATTTTACAGCTGATTGCAAAACTCACACAGGTCAATATAGATATTTAAATACATAATTTACACCTTTAATATTAATATGATCCACAGAATTTATAATAATGCAACCACACCTAAATACAAATAAAAGGAAATACATGAATTTAGCATCCCTTTCTGTTTACAGCATCCCTTTCTCTTACAAACTACAACACTGTCTTTTGGAAGATAAATAAAAAACACTTAGGGAAGAAAGGAGATGGGAGAACAAAAAAAAAAAGAGAACACCAACCAAAACCAAGCAACAAACCAACCAAAAAACCCAACCCAAAACTAAATAAATTCCAGTTGCTTAGCTACAGAATTCTTATTAACCATTCAAATTCTTGTTAACCATTAGACATCAATAAAGAAGGCAGATGTTATTAAAATTCCTCTATTTTTGCTATCAAACTTCCTCTCTTTAAGTTCCTAATTATTCAGAGATCCAGTGACTTTCATCCTTCTCTTTTTTTTTTGTGTTTCCCCCTTCCACTACCCCTCTGTAAGACATCATGTATAGAAAATAGCTTTATTCTGCCAGAAAATATCTTTCCAGGCTGCTGCTTTGAGTCATGTGCATAATTTCTTTTTTGGTACATATTGATTTTTAATTCGTATTAACATCAACAATAGTAATTAGCTTCTATTAACAAATGAAAATACAGTATTCCCATAGGTCCAATAATTTGCTTTAATGATTAGTACAGGAATTAACAAAACTTACTTATTCTTTCAGGAAAATAATTGAAGGAGAAAGTCCAGTTTTTCCATTTCACATGCCAACTACTAATTTGTCTTTTGTATGGTTAGAGTTACTGTTGTGACAGTATCTACATTTAAATATTGATCATACTGCACATACGTCGTTTCCTTTGCAGGTTAAGGCCCCAAATCTTCAAACATTTGAAGTATGAGCACAATTTTCTGACAGTCTTCCAAGAGCTTAGGGCATCTTCTTCATTGAGAAGATGGTGATGTTCTGCAAGATTGTCTTCATAGTAGGAAGATATGACTGTACGTGTATTAAGTATATTTGTAATAGCTTATTTTAGATATCAAAAGTAATTGACTTTGATCACATGGCAGAATGGACACTAGCATAAACTAATAATCAAAGTTGTACTAGAGAATTTTTACCAGCTCTCAAGACGACAAAATTTTTGTTGCATGCATGCATGTTACATGTTACATGCATGTCAAATTACATGCAGTTACATGCATGTCAGATGTCATTGGAGAGCTGCTTTGTGGTTGCTAAAAGGTTCTGGCAATGCTGGTTTAGATTAATTAAGTGATGCACATACACTCGCATCTGCTATGAACACTTCTGCCGGAAAGGCATTTATATGTAAACTTTACCATAATCTGTTACTATTGGGTAGTCTGCTATATACAGTGTATCACCCCTCCTTTCCCTGCCTCACATCTCCCCAGGACTTCAACACTACTAGTTTTCCTATCCTTTTTCATATCCAAATTAGGAACGTTAATCCTACCTCCTTTCCAATGAGGAACAATCCTTAGGGTTTGGATTTTTTTCCATTTGCATGATTTAGTTAGAGGTGTGACATGTCTTTCTGCTTTCTGTCTGTAGCAGACATGCTAGGCTGTGTGCTCACTACTATGCATTTTTTTTTTTCCTGAGCACAGCAGTTAAAAATACTAGCCTACACTTTGCAACCCAGGAAATAACCTCTGTTCCCTTAGTCTTCTAAATACATCACAAAGTGCTGCTCCCCAGGATGTACCTTCACATGCCCTTTCATTTGTATTTGAGAAATGTAGGTGCTTCTGATTTGGAAACCTCACTTGGAGTCTCTGCAGTATGAGGCAGGCTTAAGATTCAAGCAGAATAAATTTCTGTTTCAGGAGGATACAAGTTGAACTTCTAATTATGAAACTTAGAAGAAATCAACATTTTTAGTTCTATTTTACTTATTAGGCTTCTTCAATTTGCTTCACTTAGATTCTTTTGCTAGTTTCTCAGCTGCTTTGGAAATCCCCTTTCAAGGTGTGGTTTCACAATGGTTTAAATTAACTGGAGTTAGAGCTGCTGTGATCTGTGGCCATATCATCCAAAACCTACCCTACTCAAAGATGCTTGCTTTCTGGCCACTTCAACTTCTTGACTTAGGTCACCACACAGCTATGTGTGGAGTGATCCTTGTGCAGTAAAATAGTAGCAACAATTGTTACTTAGACTGGTTAAAAATTGCTGCAACAGTGTCTGGAGATCTTTCTCCACATCCCTTTGGGAGAAGGATTTTCCTTTTGCATCACAATTTATTTGTATTGCATTTTTAAGCTATTCTTTTTTTTTTTTTTTTTTTTTTTAGGTAAAGTAAGCATGACATTCTTATCTCAGCAGCATTTCAGACTGTAAGTAATACTGATTTCTGTTACACATAGCTTTTAGTCTGTATCAAGAGACAAATACACATGACATACAGTGCTTTAGGAACAGGTGGCAAAGCTTTTTGTTATTACAGAAAAGCTATCACCTGTGGGAATAAGCTGCCTTTTTCTGAAACTCAGAATATGAGATGCCAGATCCTATCATCTTCCACGAAGTGAGTGATTTATTGTGTCTAAGGTGTCACTGATTTACCCCACCTGTATCCTCTGGCCTGTTCTTGAGTTGTATTTTTCCTTGTAGACAAAACATGATCCAAGTTAGGTGTGCTGTTACTCAGCACAATACATTTAAGTGTATCTGTTTTCAGGTTATTTACCTTAATTTATCTTTTTAGTAATGGTAGTGGTTCATGTTTATCAAGTATCTTTAAAGGAAAGATTTATCACTTTTCTAGTCTTAATATTTAGAAACTCTTCTGGACAAAGAAGCTTTCTCCTTTTTAAAGTAGTGAAACCTTGAATAGTGATCTAACAGACTTCAGTGAGGCAAGATAGACTCAATAAATACCCTTAACATTTGACTCTGTGCTAAGTTAGGTACTGGTTTCTCCCCTTTTTCTTATCTTCTCTCAAAACAATTCCTCCCAAACCCTTAATATTTTGACTTTCCTTCTTCTAATCTTCAGTTACTTCTTAAACAAGTCCTGAAGAGCTCAAAGGTCATAATGCTAGATATAATACACAAACAAACATCTTCTTTCTGCTCAGTAGGTGTTACCAGGCATAGCCTAGTTTGCCTGTTTTAC